GGGAAAGAGAACAGTTGGAATTGAGGCTTTTCAAGCAAAAGCCACTCCTGCCTTTGTAGTCATTGATGAATCTTACACTGTTTGCTTCTGCTGTCACCAGAGTGCATTGAAGGCAGGTGTAGTGTCCACCCAGCTGGTGTGTCATATCTTCAGAAAAATGGAAAAGCTAAAAGTTTTGCATTTCAGGAATGGGTTGGGTGGGCAGATTTTTAAGTGAAGGCCTCTTGCAGGTAGAGGTAGAACTATGGATGTGAAACCTGCCAGAGTTGAACACCTACAGCAGGGAAAATGGAGCAACATGTGGTATCTGAAAGTACCACTGCAGGCCTCTTCACAGGGGACTTGTGTTCTCCTGTGGCAATGTGGCCATTTCTGTGTTGGGCCACCACATTACCAGTATGGGAGGAAGTGGAAAACACCAATATATACCACTGTAAGAATGTTAAAAAGCACAATATAATTGCCCATGTTGCAGTTTGGCCAGGATGTCAGGATTAACACTCCCTGCTCTGTCAAGAAATGTTTAAATGAGCACAGATGGTCATGGCTCAGCCTGGGGTTCCCATGCATGTCTAGTACATGGTGTAAAACACTTGGACAATCCCCAATCTGATTGTATATCCAGCCAGCTGAAGCTGAGCTCTCAGGAGGCTTCAGCTTAGGGTAGCTATCTGGAGAGAGACTTAAGTTCTCCATCAGCCATTCTTCTTCCTAATACCTTCTGCAGTGCAGTGGTGTCTTCCCTTTGAGCCTGTATCCCATCTAAACAGAATGAGGAAAAACTATTAAGTGAAAAGTGACTAAGTGACTGGCCTAATGGTTGGGGGTATGGTGTTTCCTGACCAGCTTTAATAAGAACATGCTAGAAAAGATTCCATATGGAAAAGTTACCCTGTTCCTGAGAAAGTCTGAAGCCAAAGAAAGGAGCAGAGCACTATGGAATTGCCTTCCATGCTGGGATTCACTCCATTCTGCATTTTCTGGTTAGGGCAGTAGGAGCTATAGATTTTCTTTTCCTAACACCAGTTTGTTCCAAACTTGGATCAAAACCCCCATGGTATGAATTGTCCCAGCCTGAGGCCCAGTTCTTTCCTAGATCCCCTTTTTATGCGGGATCTTTGAGCAGCTGTTGGTCCTGGACTGAGCTTAGTACTTCCAAGTGATGCTGTGTAGACATAGCCTTTTGGGTCTCTACATTCTGCTCTTGTGCTTGCCATAGCTGTGTACAAGGGCTCATGCAATTGCTTGGAGAGAATTTTTCTGCCTATCAGGCCTGATCCAACTCCAAAATTGTATAGCCAACTCTTTGATATTATATCATGCTTCCTTTTCTAATTCTGTGGATACAAGCAGGTGTGGTGCAGAAGGGACAAAGGGTTTTGCTAGTGGCAATGCAAAAAGGGTGTAGAGATGTGGGCTGGTATAATAGGAACCACATGCTTATTAAGTGCCCTATTTAGGCTTGTCTGCATGGTCCTATTAAAGCAAGTGTTGGCTCCTTTGATGGGGCACGAGGCTGGTTTCCTTCATCATTTCCCCTGATTTATGTCCCAGCAGCAAACTTGCACATCAGTGGGAAAAGACCAAGTAACGAGAGAAGTTAGCCAAGCCTCACCCCCTCAGCATGATAGGACATTAGATCCTTCAAATCTTTGCCTTTGGCAGCCTGTTAGTTACAGGGTTTAAATCATGCCTTTTAAGACACAGGTAGAGACACTAAAAAGCTTGGGCCTTTCTGAATTAGGGCCTGGATTGTGTAGTTAGAGTCATTTTCTCAATTAGCTTAACATAAATCAGTATAATGAGGCGTTTGGGAGCACTGGGCAGGTTTAGTACCTTGTCTCTCCTGCCTCTGTCCATACCACTCCCACCTGCTTGTTTGGCTGATCAGCCAGTGATTTTATTTTTCCGTGCTGCTAGAGCTGAGCAGTGGGTTTTCATG